CGGCCGGCGGCGGGGGCTTGGCCGCCTACCCCAGGTTGAAGCTGAAGATCATGATCCGGGACAAGCTGGTCCGCGACGGCATCAACCTGAGTAAACCCCCCTACTCCAACAAGGTAAGAACCGGCCGCTGCTCCCCACGGGGGGGACGGGGCTCCCCGGTGCGGTGGGGCAGCGGCGGCAGCTGGAGGAGGGGGGGCCGCTTCTGCCGGCCGCTGGCGCTGAGCATCTCCAGGTGTGCCGGTGGCATTTTCGGAGGGAAGGGTGGTCAGGACCTGGCACCAGACAAGTGCGAAGAGGAGCGGGGCCAAGGCAGGTCAGCTCCGCCAACGCTCGTTGGCCCGGTGCGGACGTACGGGGTGGTGCAGCATGGCGCTCGGGTTTTGGGTTTGCCTCTCTCTGGTTTTTGCCTTTTAGCCCAGTCTAGTGCGGGGCGTGAAGGCAGAAATTGTCAGGGCGGTCTTAATGGCTTGGGGGTTGGTTTGGTTTTCTTTTCGGTGAAACTTTTGCATTGTGTAGGAGAGTGATGGCTTCTCTCATCTTTTGTTAAAGGTCATGTTTTAGTGTCAGTTTCTGTTGGCGTAAATGGCTCATGAAGCAAGTGGTAATCTGGCTAGAGAAACCACTCCTTCCATTGCCTGGATTTATGTACTGGAGGATGGTAATGACTGGTGAATGTCAAAACTATTCATCAGCTGCTCCAGCACAGGCCGGTCTATCTCCTGGACACGTGGTTTGCTGAAAGGCCAGAAAAGTGCAGGTCTCAGAAGAGTACATTCCAGTTTGACGAAACCCCAATATTTACCTAAGTCTTATCTTTTGAAAAGGTTAAAACGTAAGATTAATGCGGTTTGGAAGACAGAAAGAGTTTTGTCTGAAGTTTTCAGTAGGTTTCCTGCTGAAAACGTCATATGCAGAATAAGTAAAATGATAGAATTAAATGGACAATACCATGGAGGAGAAAATGATTTGTGAAAGAAAATAAGGTGTTGTAATGCACAGTTTCTTCAGAGTTCAGAATTAATTGCTTCAAAGTTGTTTGAGGATCCAAGTTGCCTGCATTTTCTTTAATGATTTGAAGTCAGATTTTTCGAAAAGACTGAGCAATTGCAGTTGACCTTCAAGTTGTGGGTACCTTTTACCTCTGAAAAGCTTACGAAGGTGTGGAAGCAAGGTGATGGGGAAGTCTGCAGGTCTGGGTTTACAGAAATGTGAGGAATTAAGATTGAATTATCTGCTGTAGGGGACCTGGGTGTGAAGATAATGAGTAAAATTTAACTTGGACAACAATGCGGAGGTGCAGATAATAAGACTGATAGGACAGTAAGTTTCAGGACTCCAGTTTTTTAACAGCTTGGTGATAGAGGGCCGCTAGTCACTTCTCAAGTACAGCGCAGTTGGCTAGTTTGAGGTGTTTATTTGTTCTCTTTTCCTGAAACGTCTGGCTGATGACATTGTCAGAGACAGTGTATCAAATCTGATAAGACAGTAGCCAAATCTAACCAAACATCCATGAGCATCTAGTCTAAGTACAGCATCTTCCAAAAGTTACTGTATCATTTCAGAGAGATTTTTTTTTTCCCCTCCCTTGGAAGTGATCCATCGTTGGACTGACACCCTTCTGAAATTACCATTACATGTCTTATATAAAAGAACTTCTGGCTTACCGGCGTAGCTGCAGCACATTACTCACCTCCATAGCTACGTTTCGCTTCTTCCTTTTGTCTTTGTGTATGTTCGCAGTGACCAATTCCGTCTTACCAAGTGGATCCTCTCCCTTCTCTCTTCTATACCTCGTCCACAGGAATTGTAAAATTTCTAAGATGCCAGCATATGACATCAAGGAAATTCAAATCTTTGGCGTTGATTTCTTCTTTAGCTCACCTTATTTTAATTTGATGGGTCTGATAATAGTGTGGATTAACTGTCAGGGCAAGCTCATCTTACACAGGAAGAGTCACTCAGCTTTAATTGGTTTAAATGTAAATGCAATATTTTGAAATAGAAAGAGGAACCAAGCTCACTTACCTAGTTTTATTTCAGCCTGTGGTGTCAATGTATTTATTTTGGATGATAAATGCATATAACATCATTTTTTTACAGTAATAGAAAAACTTTCTCCATCTCCTCAGTGTGAATCACTTCACATCGTAGCATGTTGTAAGAAACCATAAAGCTGGCAAGATTTGAGTGTGTGTTGCTCAACATGTGTTATTCTGAATGCCACCCACTGTAGCAATCCATCTCCAAAACGGCTTAAAGGGAATAGCAAAAGATCACGTCACTGTACATTATTCATTGGATGTTGTTTAGAGCAAGAAAAATGAAATACTGTATTCTTTCATTTGGGAAAGAGCCTTGTTATAACAGTGTCTCTTTTTTAAAAAAAAAAAAAAATTGTGGGTATAATTTAAGCAACCTGTATTATACTTTTTATATAGAATATGCAGTGTACAGACTTCTGCATGTCAAAAGAAACTGGATTTTTCTCTGCTGTGCACAGGATTAAAGAATCAGCTTGAGGTTTGTGTCAAGTTTTTTGTATACATTTATCACATGTCCATCTACAGATGGTCATGTGGTTATTCTGGAGCAGGCCACTAGACACAGACCTGTTTGACATCCATTTGCATTTCTGGTGCTGCTGAGCTGCTAGCTAGCCTTCTACTTCCCTCCATGGCTTCTGTGGAGAATGCCATCATCTTTTCCTCTTAATATCTGTGAATGGAAAGCAGTATCTATGAATGGAGGAGCATGCTTTTGTATACATTTATGTATATGCATTTTACTTGTTTCCTGAAGAATACTTCATGTGTTCAGTTATGTAGTTCTGAGACAATTTTGGAGTTTTATTGGAAAACATCCCTGAGAACTGGAAGTGCTGCTCCTTTGACTTGTTTGTAGCCTTTTGCTAGGTGCCAGAGCTCTAGACGTGTCAAAAGATCTAAAATGAGTATTGGATGTGGCCGTGGAGATGTTAAAAGCATCCTTTTGTGGTCCTTCCAGTGTTGGTGCTGTATTTTCAGATGCAGGGTGAAACAGCAGAGTGGGAAGGATAGAAATGTATTGGCATAGTAAATTTCAGTTTAACTTAGCTTGATTACAGTCAGCAGAAATGACTAACAACTACTTAGCAGAGCTTAATATAAATCTCTTAAGGACGTGCAAACTTTGAATTGAAGCCATGTGTGTGGGCGACTTCAGACATGGAGAATTATCACAAGCCGTCTTGATTATTTCCATGGAGAATTAGAACAAGGCCTCACCTCCTCAAATTGCATCTTACATATTTTTCAGGTATAAACCAATATAACTGTAACTGAGAAGAACTTGACAGAAGTCAGATCTTGTTCCATGTTGGTAATGCTCCTTGATAGTCAAAGCCTCCTGTTTTAGTTTCATGCCTGCTGTTGCTGGCTGATAGCCCTAGAAGTCTCATATATCTAAGAAACTTCTTGTGGAGTGGATGGGCTTGAATGCCCTTCAAAGAAGAACCCGTGGTACCTCTCTGAGTGAAGTGAAACATCTGTGTCATCTCAAAATATCTAGCTGCTTTAAAAAATTATCCTTGATGGTTGTAATTCTGTCCTTAATTAGGAACTTAATTATGCCCGGTGTAGGGATAGTATTAATATTCTTTTGCCGTGTAGACGTTTTGGAGGATGAACTGATGGCAGAAGGAAACCAAAATGAGCAGCCCCCCCGGGTTCCAGTGAAGATGAACGAAGGGAAGCACAGTACTGACCTGAGCCAGCTGGATCAGAGGAACAGAGCCTTTACCTCCATCCGGAGACACTTCTTGCCTTGGTGGGCTTGTTGCAAAACGGATTATGTCCATGCTGGGTTTAAGCAGGAGTAATGTCACTAAATGTCACCATGGTAGGGAAAGCAGAGGCGCACCAATTTTGTCGATATAAAGACAAGTAGGGTACCTCCTTGTGGAAAGTGCCAAGAGAAATTAAGTATCCTATTTATCTCGAATATAGATTAAGTGACATTTAATAGTTTACTGGAATTTCATTACTATTTCTAATTGAAATAAATGGCCTGACTTGTTTCTTGAGGAGCTTTATTCAATTTTTCGTCTGCAGAGAGTTGCAAATACATTAAAAATCACTAAAAACGTAGATGCATTAAAAGCTCCCACACCAGTTGATTTGCTTAGCCTCAGTAAAGTTATATTCATGTAGATTTCAGTATTTGTTAGAGAGAGTAAAACTGTAGTGTGACATATGTATGCGTACGTGACCTCATTGTCACTCACTGTGCTGTTCATGATTATCAGCATGCCTGAAAAACAAACACTAAAAATTCAGCTGCATTTGAGGTCATAATCTCAAGAGTTCAAGCAGATGTAGAAAAGTAAGAAGTCAGATCCAAGTATCTGCTTAAACACCCAACCACATTTTTTTTTTAAGTTCTGTGCTGCTGATATAGCAGAGATTTGTGGTTCTTATTAAATCTTTGTTTAATCCTTGCCACTACAAAATGAGGACTATTTCACATAAGTTAAATGTTAAGAGGTAAAGATGCCAGTAATACTGCTTTGAAATACACTGGTTCAAGCTGAGTCTGGGGCCGGACAGTGTAGTCAGCGCTTTAGATATCTACAGAAGTGAATTCAGTGAATTAAAAATATGGTGCTTTGAAGAAATGGCAACACTCACCCATACTAGAATTAAACATGAACCTTTTTCTAAAGACCTGGCTGCTTTGGAAGAACTGCATCAACTCTGATTAGCAGAGCGTTCTCAAATATGCCTTGGGGAAAGCTGCCTATTGACAAAAGTACTAGTGCATTAAGTAGTAACAATATTTTCATGGCAATAAATTAGCAAAGCTACAGGCAATGTTCAGGAAGTGAAAAGGTATTTTATATAAGAAATCACTGAATTTGCCTTTGATTTCATAACTCTGTTTTCTTTTAAAGAAAATATAGCACCTCATATATTGGGCAGTTGTTTCACAGTCCCGGTTTATTAAACTCACCGAAAACAAACTGGAAAAGATCTTCTTCTGATCAGACCATTAAGGCAAAATGTTGCAGAATATGAATAATACAGTACTGTGCCGTATTTGCATTTGAATTGTTCCTGAATATTTTAAAGTGTATTCAATCTCCTCTGGAAATGTTAATGTAAATCTTCCTGGGTTTCATTATCTCTCAGTTTTGAGGGGAGGAAGAGCCCATTAGGGTATATTAAAGGTGGAGTCCTAAGAGAGGATAGTATCAACTCCACAGCCTTCTGGCCCCCTTTCTACAATGGCATGCAGTGTATTTTCTCAGTCCTGGTCACGGTGGGGTCTGACAGAGGAGCAGGGGAAGCGTGTGGCTCCCAGCTCGAAGGAGCTGTGCGGGACCGAGCCCCTGCCACTGCCCTCGGCGCGGGAGCCTTCCTTCGTCCCCCACACCGCTCCAAGTTGGAAAGAAGAGCTAAACTTGCAGGTTCCTGGCAAAAAAGAGAAATGCCTGGCCTCTTGTAGTTCCCTAAAGGCTTTTTGCCCCCCTAAAAGACATGATTCAGTC